CAAACAAAAAATAAATTGTGATTTAAAAAGCGATTGACCCAAACGTGATATTAAAGAGCGACTTATATTTTCACTGCTAACGCTGTTATTGGGAGTTGCGTGTAGTGCCAACAACTCCTACAATTGTAAGATGTATTTCTGTTTTGTTCATTTTTTCGAATTAAAATTGTTTATTATGCATTGTGCTAAGGACGGAAAATTATTTTTTTGACGAATTTCTTTTCTGCATTAGTTGATAATTTTGCAAAATGCAATTTCTGCAAAGCAAATTATCTTATAAAACAATGTAAGTATGTCGAATCTGAAACGGCACATGGAATGCAACATCCTACCATATTAATAAATTCTGAAAATGTTCGCGAAGAGCAGCGAAGTAATATGTTTGTACCTATTTTCACTCAAATAGTTTTTTTTTCAGATCAAAAATTAAAATCAACTGCCTTGCTCACAAAGAATTAAGAGCTACATACGCTATTCGCTCTGTGTAAAACAATAGTTTTTTGAGGCTATTTTAATTTTCTGTTTAATGTTTAACGAATGTTTTTTGAACTTTTAGAGTACCTAGGTTTAGAAAATGTGTAGCCTGTTGCTAGTTGCAGACGCTGTTATTTTTTAGTGTCCTTAAAATCATTTGTACTTTAAGAATAAATTATTATTGGTTGTATACCTAAATAAGTTTATTTATTTAAAATATGAATTCTAAAAAATTTAAATGTCTGCAAGTAACGCACAATTGCCCATAATCTTATGACGCTGCTATATCACGAATACGGCAACCATAAGTGAAATCTTATTCATAGGTTAAATTCACAATTAAAAAAAGTCACATTCACAGTTATAACAGTGATTTTAAAATCACGCTTTAGCTCATCTCTAATATAAAATTTGAATAAGCGGTTGGCAACGCGACAACATTGCATTCCGTCATATGTCAGTTGCTAGGTGTTGATGTTTATTGTTTTTGTACGAAACGAACAAAAGTCCAGATTTCATTCCAGTTAATCGAGTTGTTTGCGTTAAGCTGTTCGGTTTATATCAAATAATTTAGTTTATTTTCAGTGCTCAACAAGTTCAGTCTTCTTAAGGTTGGCGAAGAATAATCGGGCAACATGAAGATTTTTATCTTCACCCTGATAGCAGTTGCTGGTGAGCTTTTTGCTTTGTCTACAAAATCTATTTTCATTTCACTTTCGTCATAATTGTTGTTGCATGGAAAATATCGCGTATATTTATCACAAAGTAATTATGTTCGGTTCCCGATGGAAAATTGTTTCACACTGCCAACTATTTCTGTGCTTGCTATGAGAATAATAACAGCCCCTGGACTCTTTTGTTTTGGGGGAATGGAATATTGGAAATCGCAAAGTTCATTCACGGTTTAATTGCTAAATATTAAGTGACTAATTTGTTATTTACCGACGATTTTCCTAGTTTTATCGTGCCTTTTTTTGGTGTTTAAACAGAAGTCATAGTTTAGCAAAATATCTGTATTTTAGCCCATTTGTTTGTAATCAACGAATTAATTGTGAAGAGCTCAGTGATTAGCTGGTGCTTAAGTTAGCTGAGGTTCTTAATTGGCTAAAGTATTATAGAAGCAAATACTAATTAGGTACTTACTTGCAAGTCAATGTGGACAATTTTTATCCTATATTTAAATGGCCTCAATAATCTCAGATTATAGTTAAGAGATATAGAAAGTAAAGCTCATTTAACTTTACTTTTCAAATCTCTTCGTATATCTTGATTGTCCATTGCCTCCTTTTACTAACAACCCCACAGTATAATTCAAAGTATTTTACTTATGTTTCGATCGACAGATTCGTCATTTGCAAATTTCAAAAAATTATTGTACACAGTTTAACAATTAAAACAAGCCTGATAATAACATTCTTCTTTCAACCACGCCATCCAGTCCGAGTAGCGAACTTTATCTTTTCGTACACCATAAAGATGATAAAAGCTGCTGCGTATTATTATCAAAATAACTTATTTCAAAGCTTTGTTTTAATTGGAGCAAAATGTATTTGCGTTATTTACTGTTCACTCAATTCTTGTACATAACAGTGTGTTTGGAAATAAATGCAAAAATTGGGCTTTTTTTCTTTGAAATCAATTAAGCGACGCGTTTCGTCTTTTCTTTTAGGTTCCTGGTTTGAGAAATAACAGCCACTTGAAGTTTGCCGTAAAAAGTATTTTGTTTATTTTTCAGAAGTCTGCAGAATGAGGGCGCTTGTTTAATTTTCGTCAAAATGAATAATGTTTAAAGTACTGTTTAAACAATTTAAAATCTTCTGTCTTCAATTTTTATAGCGCTTTTCCTTTTTATGGAACATTCACCGACTGTTAATATGCATAAAACACAATTAAGTGCCTTTCCATTTAAACAAGCTATGCATTGTACCTATTTGCATTATTTTGATTGATTTTCCTAACTGCGTGTAATTGTTATTATATTCCTTTCCTTCCTGGGCTTCAGTCAAAGTGTGAATCAAAAATTTGTATATCGTTTATCTCATAACGTTTCGGCTATGTATTTGTATGACAACACCGCTATCATCATATTTAAAACTTATATAAATTCATAATTGGTAAACATTACATTATTTTAGGTCTTTGCTATCTTGAAACCTTATTTTTTGTGCATTCCCAATAATCATCCACGGTCATTCTAACAGCCATAAATACCCACAACTACTTTATTTACGACACATTTGCTTTCTCATCCATGAAAGGGCTCTTAATTAAGAAACTCTGAATAACATAAACACCATTCGAGTACGGATAGTTTCAAACAGCCATAAATAATATGTTTGTCCTGTCGGCACCTCTTATCACGTAGTCAAGCTAAGGGTTATTTTAGAAATAAGACAGTAATTTAATTGTGTAATTGTATGTTCGATATTTACTTAATGTAATAAACAGTATTTTCTTGCTTCATTATATTTGAACCTGTACGGCTTCAGAAGGTAGGTAGTTCTGGATTGTTCTTTTGTTTTGAAATTGGGCTTGTAATATTCTCCCTTTAAAGTATTTTAGTAAGTTTTAAGGATTGTTCCCTAATGATGACCTGAAAAGTGGTAGAAAGCTCTTGAGGTTAAAACTAGCGCGTACAAGTGAATACATCTATCTATTAATCAAACTTAAAAAATCAAGTCTGCTGAGTAGAAGACAGAACTGTTCTTTGTCTCAATATTGATGGAGGAAATAATACCTAGAAAATTCCAGGGAATCATTCGCCCAATTATTGCCGTCTGTTTGATAAGAATATGACTGGGTTTTAAGTATTATCACTTCTAGGCGACTGATTTCTTATTTATCTTTAAAAAAACCTCAACCTCGTTAATTTAAATTGAAAATAATTTTACCCCGTTATCGCCGTCATTTTGCAATAATTTCCTTATCTGTCCATGCGATGTGTGACCAAGTATTGTTTATTAAAGTATAAATATTTTTTCCCAAGATTGCCTAATCTCCGAAAGGGATTTTTCAAAGCTTACTTACATGACTGTTGTTTAAATAACATCAAATATGTATTTATAATGTAGGTGCATAAAGTAAAGCTTTCAATTTGACACGAAATTATTGTCAAAACACAATTTATGTGTAACATTGATTCCCGGTCGTGGTTAGCCTTTGAAATTAGCACCTGTTACGGTACCGCATTTAAATCGTATAATGTTGCTTAAACACAACCTTATCGAGTTTTAACATTTTTCAGTCAATGTTTTATACTAATAAATCCATATATAGAGTGATCTTTACCTTAGCGATATACAACAGTTTAAGAGTGTAATTTTATATGGACAGAGAATGGTAGTTTTCTTAAATATTACAAAACTGGAACCCCGCCCGTTTTGTATGATCCGCTCAAGTTTTTTTTAAATCGCTCTTTTTTTCTTTTAACAAAACTGCTCACTTGATGATTTAATCGAAAAATATTAAACAAGGTACACTAATATAGCCAGCTAATCTCAATTTGAAAATGTCGTTTGTATTATGCGAATACTTTTGGATACAATCTATCAAAAGCACTGATTCATAATTCCTTCATCAAACGCAATTCTTAAACAGTTTAACTAAATACAACAATCAGGATTACGTTTCGTCATTTTTAACGGCACACAACAGGAAGTGCTGCGCAATATTTTCTGGCAGCTGATCCGAATTGCTTTGAGGGCCTGACCTTCCACCGATATATTTATTCTGGTTTGGCGTTTTAAGCAAAAATCCTACGTTTTAGCCCTTGAGCATCAATAAAAATATACAGAGAATGCATGAAATTTGACCTTCCCCATGAATAGACGCGCTAAAATTACAGCATTTTTAACCACCATAAAATTTTGTAATGCGAATGAAGATAAAGTGTATGAATGAAACTAAAAAGCGAAGTCAATAATCTACTGAACTATTTTATAGATGTAGGTATGTAATTTTAAATATTTGGCATGAATGGCAATTCTTCAAATTTTTCTACTGTACATATTTTCTTATTTGCAGCTACTTCATCGGCCCATCTTCTCGGTGAGAAAAGGTGCACTTACGGTCCATCATATTGGTGTCAGAACTTAACGTAAGTAAATCGATTTATTCGTTCATAAACTACTGTTATTTTTAATCAGCAATGCCGGGGATTGTCATGCTACAAAGCACTGTATTCAGACGGTCTGGATCCACAAAACATATCCCGAAGATACTACAAGTATCTGCGATACCTGCAAAGAAATGGTCAAAGAAGCCAGAGATCAGTTGGAGAGCAATGAAACTCAAGTAAAATTTATATAAAATTTATATGATTTTATTTTTTGTTGGACTTTTTAGGAGCTAATCAAAGAGGTGTTTGAGGGATCTTGTGCACTATTGCGCGTTAAACCCATAGTAGTGGAATGCGACAAGATAGCGGATAATTACATTCCTGATTTGATTGATACTTTAGCTTCGGAAATGAATCCTCAAACAGTTTGCGCCGTTGCAGGTAAGTCATGGGAATGGCAGAAAAACACATTTGAAGTTTTAATTTAGGTTTGTGCAACAATGGACGAATTACCCAGATGTTAGAAGAAGCGCAAGAGCTTTCAAAAAAACCTGCCGAACTTGAACCGAAGAACAGTCGCTGCGAGAATTGCAATACTGTAATGGATATTGTCGTTAACAAGTTTAACGCCATGGAAAAAAATGACTTCTTGAAGCAAATATTGCAAGTATGCGAAGTGAGATATAATTCTTTAGCCAGAGCACTAGCAGATCGTTTATAGGTGTGCGGAGAATTCAGCAGTTTCTCTGATGCGTGCAGCAATCAAGTAATTACGAACTTTGAAGATTTATATTCATTCCTCAAGCAGAACTTTAATTCGAACGACTTCTGTTTGCTATCAGGAGAATGTTACACAAATTTCCACAAGCACCATGTTGAAATTACCCCAATGTCTAAAATTGGATATGTTCCTGTTAAGTAAGTACACACTAAGGCAATTGCAATGCCAAACACCACATCTATAAAATATTCCTATTATAAATCGAAGCACAATTTCTATTAATTTCCTGATAACACTGTTATCTAGCAAACTTGGCATTTCTGCGAATTGTGCCTAGCGCACTTTAGTTTGTATCATTTTATAAAAATATCTTTCCAGGAATGAACAAGATGATTTGCCCTGCGAGTTATGCGAACAATTAGTTACACATTTAAGGGAAGTTTTGATTGCCAATACTACCGAAGCTGAGTTTAAACTTGTCTTAGAAGGCCTTTGCAAACAAGCAAAGAAATCGTTTAGCACAGAATGTCTTAGCATTGTTGACCAATATTATGACATGATCTATCAGTATGTGGTCACTGAATTGAACTCCACCACTGCTTGCACTGCTATTGGAATCTGCCCATCAAATGAAAAAGTAGGTAGACAATAATTGTTTATTTTTAATGTTGAGTGAAGCATATGCCAACGGATATCATTTTTTTAATATGTTTTCAGCAAACTCTTTTCATTGCTCCGCTGCTGCCAGTAGAAAATGTTCCAAAAGCTGTTAAACTAAATCAAGAGGCTAAACCTGTTACCATTCCGAATGATGATCTTGTCGTCAAGGTAAGGATTATTATGTTTTATGTGAACTGGATGTTTGCTTGAAAATTAATATGGATATGGAATTTCATATAGAATCTATTTACAGGTGATCAAACCTAAACAGGAAGCAATTTTATCAGCAGTCGACATGCAACTTCCAATCGATTTGCTCGTACCCCCTCACCAACAAGTATACAACCAACAGTTTTGCATATTTTGCCAATATTTCCTGCACTATTTACAAAATGAAATTACCGATCCAACAGTTGAAGTAAGTGTTGCTTTGTTATAGTTTTATATTCTTTATATGTATTTTTTTTAAATTTTAGAGTGATGTCAAAAAAGTTATTGATAAGGCCTGCTCAAAACTGCCGAGATCAGTGAATGAAACTTGTGTTGAATTTGTGAACACTTACGAACCAGCGATGGTTGCCATTCTCGCGCAGGAAATCGATCCATCTCAAATATGTCCACTGCTGAAAGCCTGTCCAAAGGATGAAAGCAAGGACGTCGACATCTTCATGACTGCCCAGTCATCTGAAAAATGTCCTTTGTGCTTATTGACTGTCACTAAGTTGGAATCAATGATCAAGGGTAAAGCTACCAAGGTATGAATTATCTGTAATTCAATTTTTTTAGAATAAAATTTGACAAATAAATAAAGTTTGATACATTTATAATTCGTCTATAGTTGAAGAGAACGGGTTGCTATTAAGCATTTAAAATTATTTTTAATTATTATATTCTTCATAGATTAAGAGGAGAAAACGACGGCCACGGTATGGACGCAATGAAAAAAGAAAGAAATTCCAGAAAGTAAAATTCCGGTGTTCCTGAAGATTTTGAAAAGCGTCTTTTCTTCCAACTATTCCAGTCTCGGCAATAATAATTTATTTTTTATGGGAAAAGTGTTCTTATTTTAATTATAATTGCATTTCTATTGTCAATTAATTGAAATCCAAGACGAATTAAAGAGCCGATTTTTCAAACGTTTGCTAAATTCATTGAGAATTAAATGTTTTTTTTTACAGGATGAAATCAAAGAAAGCTTGGAAAAGGTTTGCAATCATTTGCCTGGCAATTTAAAACCAGAATGCACAGACTTTGTAAATACTTACACCGATGAGCTAATCGAAATGCTTATGGCCGACTTTAAGCCTGAGGAAGTCTGCGTCTATTTGAAATTATGTACGGATAAATCCCCAGCCGATTTCATTATCAGCAAAGATCCACATGAGGAATTTAGAGGAGATACTGGTGAGTTTCAGTAAACACAAGCACTTCTCGATTTGATATGAAAATAAAAAATCTAATTAAATATTAACGAATAACAACGCGACAATAATCTTGTCTGATGCAAAATGCAAATCGTTGTTCGAATGTAACTCTGTGTGGACATTATTTAAAAAATGTGCTTTTAGAAACGAATGCAATTTTCGACGACACTGTTGAGGGACACCAAGTTGAAATGTATGGCACTGAGTCATGCATTTTGTGCGAATTTGTTATGAAGGAAGTCGATGATAAGTTAAAGGACCAGACAGTACAGGTAAGAGCCAGACGAAATTTCCATGGAACTTTTAATTATACATACCTAAATGGTAGGGGAAATATGTCCGAAAATTATCATATCTTACTTTTGTAGGCTGATATTAAAGAAATTGTTCATGACATCTGCAAAGCATTACCTGGAACAGTGAAAGATTCTTGCAACAAGTTTGTTTCCCAATATGCGGATATGGTTATTATCTTACTAGAAGAAGCTCTAGACCCCAAGGAGATTTGTACCTACATGAAATTTTGCAAACCGAAACATGCCCTAGATTTCATTAGAGGTAAGTTGTGTTTCAACTGCGTTTTCACTAAATAAAATGCATTTTAAATTAACATATCTAAATAACTTTCTTTCGTTACAGATGAAGTATCCAAATGCAGCGGCTGCAAGTCTACAGCCCAAGTCATGAATCAAGTTCTGCAAAATCCAAAAGTTGCCAGAACTATGGAGAATATATTTTCAAAAACTTGCCGCGGTATGCCATCATCAGACATGAAGAAATCGGTAAGTTTTTACATTCTAATTTAATTAGAAATTATCATAAAATTGCTAAGCTTTCTAACGCAGAGTTTAGGGAATTGCCATCTTGTGAATGACGTTCTAGGGCTTATTAAAAAAGAAGCTTTAAAAATATTATGTTTAAAGCAATTCTTTGATTCTTATTTATCAAAAATTGATTTAATTCCGATATTCTGTTTCTTGATTTGCATTTTGAATCTGGTAAAACCAAGTAACTCGTTGATTTTTTTGGGCATACATGTATGTTAAGGGTATAGCTTTTGGGGGTTAAAATTTCTTTAAACTAAAATGTTCGCTATAGTGAAACATAGCTTGTTATATGTTTGGCTTAAACGGCGTATTCTTCTTTACAGTGTGAAGTAATAATTGCAGAGAAAGGAAATGAATTAAGGAATTTGCTTTCCGATGGCGAAACGGCACTAAATGCTTGTACTTCACTAGATTATTGCAGCTCTAATGGGCATGTGATTATCAACTAATTTGTAGAATATATTTTATATATTATAAATACCTACTAAGAATTATTAATGATCTAAAAATGAGGTTTGAATCTGTAACGAGGGATGTGTAGCGGGCTACAAATATTATATATATGGCATATCAATTTTAGCTTATTAATATGCACCGGTATTTTTTGTTATTTGATTATAATCTAACCGTTTTAAACAGTTAACAATTGATAATTTAAATCTTAAGTGGCGGTTTTTAAACTGCTTTTACTTTTAGGTTAACTGTGATAAAATTATTATTTTGTACATTTAACTTTACTGTAATTTAGCTTCGAAATAAATCTCGAAATGACTTATGTTGTTTGTCTATGCACCCCTAACTTACCTGTGCTTTGCTAGTATTGTACGGTAGATTTTCCTGTATGTCTGCTTTTTACATTCTGAAAGCTTATCGGCCTACTTACCTATTCGGTAAGTAAGTAAAACGTTCCGAGCTCACTCTTAAAGCTGTGCGCTTATTAATTGTTGTGCTCACATGTGGCTAAATAACTAACAGTAATAATGTTTACCAATTTTCAGTGCTTTACAACGTTCTTTAAAAATGGCGAATTGGAATACGAAGCGGCCTATCTTATACTATCAGACCTGGCAAGTCTTCAAGTTGCGTTGGCTTTCCAACCCGAAATAGCAGATTGCGTGATATGCAAAGCTATCGTTAAAGGAGTTAGGGAACTCATTAAGAATAACAAAACAAAGGTAAAGCTAATTAGAATCAACCGCATATTTAATATGTTCAATTACGCTTGATTATTCTTTAAAATTAAATGTATTTCCATAAAGAAAATGCATCAATCAGCTTACATAGTTCATATTTGATTAACTATAGAAAAGAAATTCTAATTTCAGGATGCCATCCAAAAAGCACTGCGCCAGGTATGCAAGAAGGTGCATTCACATAAATGTAGGGACATTGTAAACAAACACTTTGATCAATTTGTAAATTTAATTCTTGCTGGTACAAAAAGCGGCAAAATATGTAGTTTGATATCACTTTGTACAGGCAATCCGACAACTGCCGGCCATCTACATATACTATGAGTGATATTACCAAGATAGCAAGTAAGTTCATACACATTACAAGTGTATTTTAAAGAAAAAAATTATAATGACAGAATATAATTTTAATCCCAAGCGGTATTATGTTAATATAATATTATTTGCTCGCATTTAAATATAAGTTTAAAGCTGAGATACCTCTCATGCTGGCATTTTTCATAAATAACTGTCTCAAATTAGATAAGTTTTTCTTCAAAGATCCCGTCATCATTTTCAATTTCAAAGTGCATGTTCTACACATGGTATTGATGTATAATGTATATAATTGACGAATAAAATTAGATTATAAAAAATCTTTAACATGTTGGAAAATATTTTAAGTCGGAGCCATTGCAATCATTTCTGGCATTTGTGGTTGATAGGGATTATGGAGTAGCAACCATTCTGCCAAGGATATCACTGGATCTATCGGCTTCGTTCGTACAATCTCTGTCAGTCCTTGAAGCAAAGTGGGTCTTAGGAAGGTTGTAACGTAATCTTTTACTTTATCACTTTCAACTGGCAAAGGTTCTTGAATATCTACATTAAAAAACTGAAAATGTTTTATTACGGATTGATACTGATTGTTAGCCAAAGCATTACAACAAAGCTAACTGAGAGAAGAATTCTTGGGTCGTCTTAATAGTTATGGTTAGTTAGCTTAAAGTAGATTCCTCTTTCATTCACCTGAGTTGTGAGCGCATGGTAAGTGCGAGAATTTCCCGGCGAATGGGAATTAAGATGGATTCGCGAAAAAAGGGTGCCAAAAACTAGTTTACAGTATCCAGAAAAATCTAGAAAAAAATCCCGGTAAAATTGTACGTTGTACGTACGTACGTTGACGGTAGAACAAAAATTAGCCAGAAAGACCAGAAGAAAAAAGCTATGTTTATTACTAGATCTACATGAGGCTCAGATGCTCCGGCAGTAAAGATGACCTTACCCCAAAGTAAATCAAAAACATTAAAATTCCAAAGACTGATAAATACCTCTTGGAAATAAATATCTGCTCTCCTTTCGGGCATCATTCAATCCCTCAGATGCATGCAAAGTGTTGAGAAAATCTCCCTGCGGACCAAACCTGGTCCTAACACTGTATGGAAAAAACCATTCTTCGCGTAGAGTCCCCATTGGTCCCACCATGGCTTTCCATTTCTCCACTGCGTTAACGGCTTGCAAAGCCAACACTAAAATCGGAGAAACACTCACAGTAACCACCATATGTGGAAACGCGGGTGTCCCATAGTATTTTTCGTATATTTCTGATACTTGTTCAGGAGTAAGGTGGACCGTTCGTTGCTAGAAAGAAAATTATAGAATTAATAATCTCAAATAAAATTTGCCAAAGAATATTCCTTCGTAAGTGTTCCTAGAACAGTCAAATACATTTTCAATTTCAATGCGTGTTAACGGTTTGTTCATGAAATCCACGGGGAAAGTTTGACTTTAACATACTGGATGCTAATTTACAGTTACAGTTTACGTTTAAAAAGATATATTAATTTATGGTTTTAAGAAAGTATGATTATGAGCTAAATCTCAAGGGGACAAGAGAAATTGATTTTAAAGTAATCAAATATCTATATTTCTCAAAACGCTTGTTTATAAATGTCTTAGAAAGCTTATTATATGAATAAAAGTGGGAGCAGTTGAAAAAGATATACATATGTATATCGTTAAACGCTGATATAGTCGAATGCAAACTTGAACATTTGTAAAAATTGTAATTTAAAATTTTTAGCTATTCCCAGTCTTATTGCTAGAAACATTTTGCCCGTGAAATTCTATTTTGGCATCGATACAATAGCAGGATGATTTCTTGGAAAAAATGTTAATTTTTGTTACGAAAAATTAAAATTTGCGTCTCATACCGGCCATTCTTGGATTATGAAAACATTTTAAATAATTTCCCTTGCTCGATTTGCATCGCTTTCATTAATGGGCGAACCTGTATATTTTATAGCTTCTTCTGAGCATGAAAAAATACACGCTCAGTTTAAAAGCACTTGTAAATTCAAGATTAGGAGATAATTTCTTGACCGATACAAGAGCAATTGAACAAGTCTTGTGCATTCGGTCTGAGCAGTGGTAAAATTTAGGACGTTCTTTTTAATATTCAAGAAATAAACTGAATCTAGTATCAATTTCATCAAAATTATTCGTGTTGATTTATTTTTTCGCTCTTGAATTTCAATCAAATTTACATAAAAAAAGTCATTAAATGAATGTCCTGTGTTTAGTTAGAGCAAACCATCGGAAAATGGGCTTTATAATCTAAAGTAGCTCTTGATAAGCCTCAGAAAAATACTGAGATCTCTTTACCAGCTCATTAAATGGCTTATAACTACATACGTTTTCACTACTTCACACCTTTTATATTTATAATTTTGCTTAAAAACAATTATTACGTAATTTGCATTTACCACGTACGTTCATAAAGAGCAACGATTTTAAACAAACATTCCATACTGGTGTAATAATACTAATTTTAATAAGAATGTTTCGGATGCAATTATATCCGGCTCAATATAGAAATCTGGTGTAATATAAAACCATAACGTCATAAAATTAACTGGAAAAGTAATTAATTCTTAACTGTGAAAGTAAATTTAATAATTATATGTCAAAATTTCAAACGGTAAGAAACAGTGGGTATATTGTTCTTGGCGTTACTTAATTGTTGGTTATTAACTTTCCTTTTTCCGCATTTCTGCTGGTAATTAGAACTTTAATCACTGGCTGCAAATGGTTGAATCAAACTTCTCCAGAAAGTTCATCGAATTCATTTTTTTATTCAGCTTCTGATACTTACATGAACAATTTTTAATCCGGCTTTACCGATAGCTCTTAACACTACATCGGTATAGCAAAGTGCCTCAGGTTTGATCATGGCCACAGTTCTTTGCAAGGTACTATCATCGCAAGATATAGAGCTTGAGGAGGTAGTTGTACTGCCAAGTCCAGCTTTGTAAGGTACATCGTGATATAGAGGACTGACATAAAATTGCTGATAGTCTAAATCTCCTTCATATTCCGTATGAGCTACAGTACTTGCAGGGGACAGATAATGGATAGTGTCTAAGCGATCTGTTACCTAAAAATTCTTATTTGCATGATTTTCCAGCTTTTTTATTGAAAGGAACGGAAATGTGCAAAAAAAGTGGCATGTAAAAAATAAAATGATCGATAATGGTTTATCTGAAACAATTCATTTTATTTATTCATATTTAAGCAGGAATGTTAATTAATTATCGCAATATTCAAATTTGAAGCAAGATTCGCTTGATTGGGCCAGAAAGCGATAAATGTTCTACGTATTTTATTTAATTAAAGTCGGTTGAACGATGCCAAAGTTGTCCTAATTTTTGCAATCTAATATAATGTCTTGATGTTTTAAATATTAGAAACGAAAAATTCAAAAAGCCAACTTTAATAATAGAATAAATAGATAGTAAATAATTAATTCAACTAAGATATGGGATTTTTTGCAAATTTTGGAAAACACATAAACTTACGGCACTTGAACCGCGGGCTGTGCTTCTGTGAGTGCTAGGATTGCTTGCATAGGCGGTGGAATTTATTGAACTTTCTGTTAAAAAGCCAAAATCATCTTTTGATGTTATTTGGAAATGCATGGTTTAAATGCTGAAAATTAATATTGTCCCTTACTTAAAGTCAAACTATTTTTGTGTCAAAACTGAATTTTCACGTGTTAGTTCAAGTACGAAGGTAATTAATTGAAACTAAGAATATAAAGTTATACAAAATTATGAAAACTGTAGGATGATATGAAATAAATGCCTATATACAGTGAGAGTATTCTAGACGTGAATTCTGCATTTTTGTTGAATTGCGCGCGTGTTTTAGAAATTTTTAAAAAATTTCCGTTGGCATCAATGTGCTCTTTTTCCAATTCCGGGATAAGTATGGCTTTTCACTCAAGAAAATGGGCAAAAACTGTTTTACTTTTGTTCTTTTCTCTCAAAAACTGACATTGTATGCAATATTTTTAAGAAAAACACTCGGAATTTACCATAAGATAGAATTTGAAAATTTGCTTGTATTTTCAGAATCACGAATTTTCTGTTCACATATGATTTTATAAATATGTAATACTTTATTTCAGAACCAAAAATTGTAACTCCATTAAATTTGTGATTGAGTTTTGTTCAATCAAGCAAAACAGATGTTCTAAATAAAAAACAGTACAAATTGTAGAGGAACCGAAGATGTATGTTTATGTATTGTTTGAATTCTTTGGCAGAAAAATAAAAAAAATAGCTAACTACTTTAAAAATACTGAAACATGTTCTTTTTCAATATTTTTGGTTGTTAGCTGAGAGTGGTGAATGACTTTGAAGTGCATGAACTTTCTAATAGTGGCGGCTTTGAAAATTATTTTTTAATAAAATTCACCTTATCCACAAAAAAACACACATTGGGAAGCAGAGGTAGAAAACCCTTCCAATTATGGAAATATGTGCGTTTTTAGAATTTTATTCTTATTTTTATTTATATAGAAAAATTTTAGAAGCAAAATACGCAAGTAATAAATAAGCAAATTAAATAAAATAATTAATAAAATTCAATTCTCCAAAAAAACATAATCTAATAAAATAATCTAGACCTTTCCAATCGAACGATTGAAATTCATTGTAAATTAGATAACAAATTCTTTTAGACGCAAAAAACGGAACAAAATGGTGTCTAGTTTTATTAATGTTCTAATACATTTTTCAATATTTGCAAGTTTTTGGGTGATAAACTGATTTTTTTTCACTTTCACGTTGTTCTAAACGTTCAAAAACGTAAACACCTAAATCCGTATCAACCATATAGAACTTATCTAAACATATCTATAATGAAGTTTATCATCAATATTCATCTCAACAACTCGTTTCGTTAAATTTGCTTTTCGACAATTAACACACTTTCGTTAAATATTTCAACAATTCGTCAAATAAACCGAAAATTTAACCTAAATTTTAAATAAGAATTTAAGACGCTTCACTAAAATTTCATCATATAACACATTTTGGTAAATTTGTGTGCTGTATGCGATATCTTTTGAGCACATTAAGAAAATTTTGTATTTATATATATAATATATTTATAAGTAAAGCATTTTATTAGACACTCTTAGTCAAAATATGAAACAAATTCTCAAATTAAATATTTTCAAACATGTTCTTCTCAAAGCGAAATTTCTGAACACTACACACCTTTTAACCAAAAATATTATAATATAAATATAGCTTTTGGCCGCCGCTTTGGTATTGGGCGCTTAAATTAATAAAGCTTGTTYCCATCCGATTTTCCCATTTCAAGTTAAAGAGTAAGGTTAAAGTTATGGTTAGGTAATTGCTCAGATTAATGTCTTTGGGTAATTGATAAATAACTTTTAAACAATGTTATTCCGTTAAATTTGTGCATTTACCGATGGAACGACTAGCCTAAGCTCAAACTATATCCTGTAGCCAATTTTGCGCATTGACTTTGTTCTGCATTATTATTCAAAATGAATGATTGATATTACATACATACATACATAAAGAGTACAACAATAAAGTGCATAAAAATGCCATATTGCATCACATGCCCGTTAGAAAAATTGTAATGCAATTTGATTTATAATGATTTCTCTTGCTAAAAACGGTGGTGTTCCATGTGGTTTATTTCTTCGCATGGATGATAGCGGATCTCTAATTTGTGACTACATTTTGTAGCCTTCCATCGTTTCTGTTTCGGTTTTGTTTCATTGTGGACGCGTATTTCCAACAATACACGCATTCCGACAAACCGTGACGCGTACGTTATTTTTTCTGTTTGCTTAATGAACTTTCGGCTCTGCGTTTCGTGTTGATGTCAAAAATGGTGCATGTTTGTGCTAGTGACCAAGTGATTAAAAATGCATTTTTTAACGGTGTGAAAAGGCTAAGCAGTCAACCATATGGATTTTAATCATGGAGCAGAACTACAGCAAAAGCGGTATAAAGGTACATGATTCAGTCGGAAAATTTGAAAACATTCAGTGTCGCGCATATATAAAATACAGATTTTATTGGTATTTAATGTTAACATTTATCTGAGAACTAATAGGTCCGAGAGAGACTTGAGAATGAATATTATCAACCTTGAAACTGGTTAGTTTTCAATAGTTTCCTACTTGCTCAACTGCTATATTCTTATAATCCTTTCAGATTTTCACTCATTAAATCTTGTTGGTGTTTAGCAATTTATTTTAGTTTTATTTCATTCTTTTACAGGCACGTTTTCATTTCGTTTCTGTTATTTGTTTTAATTTTAAATCCGATGCAAATGAAAATGGAACAATCTGTTGATGATTTTAAGGATACCGAAATGTATGTAATATACATTCGTAAAAGCTTTTTGGGAAAAACCGTTATAGTCAAAAACGCTTATACCAAAAATCATTGATTTTTGGTATAAGCTAGAAACTGTCCAGCTCTCACTCATGAATTTTGTCATTTATTAATTTTTCAATTTAATTGTTACTTACATTTCTGTTTAAGATTATTTAAATTTTCAAATATGATTCACTGATTTGAATCTGGTGAGTTTACATTGCCAACATTTTCAGTTCGTCGTTGCCTACATGAAGGAGTTTTCTGGAAATTAAAATAAATTACGAATAAATAATAATTGTTATTATACAAAGGAATAATAATAATTGTTATTTACTATTAAATAATATATTTGTTTTTTAATCAAATCAAATCCAATTGTTGACTGGCGGAAGAGTAATTAAAAATAGGCATATCTAAATCTTTAAAAAATCAAACAAGAAAACCAGCATAAACAATGCAACTGCAACCAATTTTTTTTCAAAAATATATTTATCAAAAGTACATGTTTTTCAATGTGCGCCAAGTATAGCAGGGTTATAACGGGTTCTAAGTCTGTACTTCTAGAAACATTATATTATGTTGATACAACAACAATTATATTGATTATTTTTTTTGGGATTCTTTGTTTAAACTTGAAAACACGAACTAGCCTAACCAATAAAATGAGAATGGCCAGATTTTTCGCATTTGAGACCTTCGTAAAATTGAATACTTTGAGGTGTCGCCAGCACCAGTCGCATATGCATGTTCAGAGCTGATTGCGTAACTAAACTGAACATATCAATGTAAATATAGTAGTGTGTGCTATTAAGCAACCATCTCTGAAGATGCATGCCACTAGAGCTAGCGAAACACCCGTAAAAAAATCCAAAACTTGTTTAACATATTTTAAAATCGTCGCTAACTTTACTCTATGCAGCGCCTAAAAAGAAGCATTCAGCTTTTATACAGAATACTCGATAATAAAATGTCCATATACCAAAGGATTATTTTTGTACATGCTTTAAAGAAAAAATATATAAATATAGGTGAGCCCTGCAATATAAACCTACAAGTGAGAAAGCTATATAAATTTTTGTCTTTATATATTAAAATTTATGTTATAAATTGGTCGATGAAATGAACGTTATACAGCCAAATTTTCCCTAAGTTTGGAAATATAGATCAATTCTAATTGGGTTCGTTTAGCGATTTGGTTTCTGTTTGAAGCCTTAACTAACCCAATTAATTTTTTATTCGTCAATGTTTTGATAAACAATAAGCGTTTCAGATAAATTTTGTTGAAAAATAAGGGTGGCAAATGAAAAGTTGCGAACTTTCTACAAACTTCTCATCTCAACACCAAAAGTTCAAATACAAACCCAATAGCTACAGGGTGGCCTCAACTTTTCAGCTCGTTGTCCGATTTTCACGATCTTGAGCTCATGTTGAAGCTGAAACTTCATAGACAATCTAAGACGGCAATTATCGAATTGCGTATATCGCTACAGGGTTGCCTAAAAATGACTCAACTTAGAAATATCCTCGATATTGTGATTCTAGCAGGCTTTCAACTAAAGTGAATTTTATTTTTAAATATTTCGTTGATTCATGCAACCCTGTATATTAAATTATTTTCTCAAATCGACTGTGAAGTTTTAGCTTCAACATGAGCCCTAGATTTTGCTCATCGGTTCAAAAGAAAAAATCATCACTGCAAAACGAACAAGTTGATTTTTTTAGCACTAATCTAAAAATAAAAAATATGGGCTAAAAATTCCCAAAGTTTTTTTATAGATATATTAGCCCTATCTTAATGTATAGGCCGTTCAAATGGAAACAAACGTTTTCTTGTCCAACTAAGAGCATGTGGAACTTTCACCAATTTTGCATTGTTTCATTTGCCACCCTGAAATTTTATATGCAGCACTATTGTTTGGCAAAATCACACACTAACTGAAAAATAATTGCATTAAATAATAACAGTTTAAAAAGAAGTCAATTCGCTTGTAGCAATCATATTTATCCAGTTCCTAAATTGCTCCAAATTTACCCGTGTAACGTGTAACGTTGGGGAGTTTATTTAGCTGAAATGTGGAAAGCCGATTCATTGAGAGGATTAAGAGATGTTCGATTTCTTGAATTAAAAGCTAATTCAGCCAGACACTCACTTTGCTAACGGAAAATGTGGTTTTCTGTTGCCTTTTGAAACTATTTTATGTTTCAGTGTTTAATCCCCTATCATTTTGCGAGCACAAAATTACGAAACCCTTGTTAAAACAACATGATCACAGCAGAATGAAGCATTTCTAGTTTTTGCAATCCGAAAACATTCTTCAATAAATCGCACAATCGCTGTCGAACAACAGTGTTATTAATATCTTAATAAGCAACAACTAAACCAGAAACTACTTTAACAGTCGGAGGGGTCTTACACCTTTAATACCGCTATTATTTTTTTAAATTTCAGTTAATATACATCATAAAATAGCACCTTTATTATCATCACAACCATATATTGAACGCATTAAATTCAAAAGAAATTCCTGGGTTCCAGTCAATTTTATTGTTTACCATTTAAAATGTCACAAAAACGTTTCGGTGTTTTTCTCCATCTTCATCAGTTTGAATAAAATATGCATTCACAGTCGTTATTAGTTTAAAAATTTAAATATCTAAGCAATAAATTCTAATCTTTTCCCGAACATGATTGTCCTGACTCATCACCTGTAATCCCAAAAGATTCAAACGATTTTAATATACTTTTTAATGTGTTTGTAATTTGTATTTTAGAATGTATATTTAACAGAGATCTTCTTTTAAACTGATGATAGTGGAGAAAAACACCGAAACGTTTTTGTGACATTTTAAATGGTAAACAATAAAATTGACTGGAACCCAGGAATTTCTTTTGAATTAAGTTGAAATACAGTCAGGAAAATATACACAATTTCGCATTAAACTCAACTTCACTCACTGTTTCTCAAACGTTCGCACATCGAGAATGTTTCGCAACAATCATTACTAGAAAGTCTTTTTCTAAATTTATTAATCACAATAGTTATACAAAATGAACAAAAGTCTAACTCAATTTCTAGTGCTTCTACAGCTGTGTAGAAAGGAAACTTGCACTTCAACCGAACGATAAACAGTAGCGACTTTGGGTTCTTCCAATAAATAAGGCCTTACCATTAGCTCCGTCTGTGTATCCGCATCCTTGAAACTTATCTTTTTATCGGTTCTCAACCGTAACAGTAAATCATTACATATGTCAGCTACGCCATCATCATCGGCCAAAGAAGTTTTTATCAGAGCTTGTTCTGAAAATGGATTGCTCGTAACCCACTGTAATTTCGTTTTTCTTTTCAAATTTATCACACGTACACTGTTTTCTTCGATATCTTGATAGGGACAATACTGGAGAAGGCTGTAGAACTTGGCACTGTCGCTGGATGCTTCCAGGGATAAAACGGTGCAGAACTTTTTATCGGAAGTTACGGAGGCTCGAGGAGCCGCAGGTGACAGAACAAAAGGAAATACTTTGACGACTGTTTGAACTTCTTTATCTTGCAACTCGGCATTATTTCTTTGGGAGGCAAGTGAACTAAGTGACATTATGTATGGAAAAATGCATTTTGTGATTGGAAATGTACCTGGAATTTAATACATAATTTTGACTGATGACAATGCAGCTACAAAGTGCCATTCCGCCTGACATACCTGTAAATTCTTGTAGAAGAAAAAAAACGAGCCATTTTCTTAAGATAACAAATGTCAGGCAGCAACAAGAATCAGCACTCTGTTGATGATGATGCCTGTGCATCAGAGTCGACTAATGAGAAAGTTTCAGGAGAAAATGGGAGTGAAAGTAACTTGCGAAAAATATTAAATGAAACAGTAGAAATGTGCTTTGAGCAAGAAGCAGCAAATGGTGCTGGAATAGGGGCAGGTTCCCCAGCTTCCAATTCCCTAAATAATGACTCGGACGTTGAAGAAGAAAACAAAGACTTAGCGAATGAGAAGGGGGCCTACGAAGAAACAGTTCAGTGCACTAATGCTAGAGCGGGCGAAATTGCGTTGGACCATCCTATGGCACCAATAAAACACACAGCTCAGAAACAAGCCTACATAGCAGATGAAGAAAGACCTATAATTGACGTGTCTAATCAGTTCCTGATAAATTCTTCGAACAGTTTAGAGGCCTGCCACAGTAAAAATTCAAATAACGCAGAAGACCTAGTTAACAGCGCTGAAGATTTAGCAATCGAATGCGTACTCGAGGACAGTTCCATAGACGCAGCTGTGGTAGAAGGAATGAAGATAAATGAAACTTTTGCAGCAAGTTCCAGCTGGTCAAAACAGCGCACCAATTTCATTGAAGACATACACCGCGAGTTTATGGCACCAACGGCTTCAACACTTGAACGAGAGATTTTATTGAGAATTGAGATTGGCGACAAACGAGCCAAAATCCTGCAATTGCCTAGTCAAACTATGCCAGCTAGTCCAAGTCATTATGAAAAGGAAATTGTAGGCGACGATGCCGCGAAAACCGCAGTAGATATTCTTTGCGAATGTGGCCAACCGAGTATGACTGGAGAAGCTGTTCCGGTCGTCACTTCTTTTAATCTAGCAACAGATGCTAAAACGGAGAAGAACGGTAAGTTATTTACAAAACAATTAATAAATATAAAGGGTGTCCCGTAAGCACATGATCAAAAGGGTACTGCGATATTCTTTGGACCAAAAGAAGACGATCTGACCTAACTTTTATTAACAAAAAATGTTTGGTTCCTCTGCTATTGATGATCAAAGTTCTTCAAAAAAATTGTCTTTTTTTAAATATCGGGAGAATGATACGATGTATTTTAGTCAAACTCGCCGTGAATTTGTTCTTATGTAAGACTCATATTTTGATGAAACAATCGACTTCAGCCGTTTTGGACAAGTGGTGAATTCTTGAGTGTCGTGGTACAAAAACTACCAACACTTTTTAGTTGGAGGATGAATTCAACTCATTTGTTTTTAGTTTGATGCACTAATCATGTACTCACAATTTTGTGCTGTTTATAAAATCTTGTAGCATTCATAGTTTTTGCACAAAAAAAAATATGTCTGTTTTCTAGCCACTAAACAATGCAACTGGACATTAACTGCAAATATGCGCCACGTAAACGCGAACGTTTTCACGCAAGTTGTCTTCGCAAAACCCACAAAAAATACTTTGACCATGTCGGTCACTTCTTCATTAGAACAGATTATTCAAAACGAATTGTGAGATTGATTGACAATGATTTTATGCCTCGTATCACGATATTTGCAGTTAATATCTAACATTGTTAATTGGCAAGAAAACAGAAATATACAGGGTTGCTCATTAGTGCGTCAAAGTGCGATATCTCAGTAAATATGAACTTTACAAGAAAATACGTCCTACGAAAGTTTTTCATGTTTAAAAGGTCCACATTTTAAAATTACTTTCCAATATACGGGGTGTATCATAAACGTGTGGTAGTTACCAACTTTGGTTTTTTAAATGGAACCGCCCCTTTTTTCATTCATTTTCAGATTTGTCGTCAAAATTTAAGTTAAGTTTGTGTCAAACGTTTTACCTGAAAAATTTACGATTTCCGAGTTATTCGTAAAAATGTGAAAGTTTTGACAGCTACTGGGTTCCACAGAAATCGATGCTGTACACTACCCGCTGCGAATTTTGGAAAACAGTTTTCAGCGATTCTAACAGAACATCATGATCTACGCGTAGATATGTTT